GGGGCTCGGGACACGGGTTAGCCCACCTCGGTGCCGCCCCACAGGTATCAACCGGCAGCGTTGTGTTACTCTGGTTTACAATGGGATTCTCTGAAGAAAAACAAACAAAACAACCCACCACACACCTGCAGCAAAAGGACACTTCATGCAGCAGCTGGGGACAAACTGACGGCACAGCACCATGCCGAGGTTGCCAGACAAGTTCTGGTATCTTAACTACTCTGGCTTGTTTGGTCTACAGCAAAGCTGAATTCCCAAGTTCAGTGTAGTCAACAATGGCTACTTTCATTTATTGGGCAAACATTTCACCAGCTGGGGTGGTCACTGAAGGGTTAACAGCAGTTTGCCAATGGTGGCTTGATTCCCATTTTCAAAATTTTAGAGAATTTTATAGAACTATGCGTTTACAGATGTTCTTAACCCGTTCTTCAGACCTGTTACCTTTTTGGTGTCCATTTCTGATATTGATGCGTAGGTATCATTTCCTTAGTCATGTATTTCAGGGTACTGATCTTTCTATAGGATAAGTGAGTGGAAAAGTTGGAAACAATCTGTGAACTGCATTTGTTCTGTGTATAAAGAGACAAATAGAGAAAATAAAATATTGCAACTGAAACATACCTGCTCTATATTTTTCCTCCAGAATGAAGGTTAATACCATTTGAAGTATCTATATTACATTAACTAGATATCTAGATTATTGTCACTTCAAGAACTCCCTCTGGAGTTTGGCAGCTCCTCCAAAATAGTTCTCTGCTAACAGATCTGTGGAAGTGGTTTATCAGGTAAGAGTACTATTTAAACATTTCATAAAATCCCCCCAGTTTGGCATTGGAAAACATTAATTTAGGGGTTTCTACTCCTTTAGTGAAGAGAAAAAAGGATTAGGAGAAAGCACTTAGAAAGAACCACAAATGGGTGCCAAACAAGGCAAACAAATGAGAAAGATGGGGAAGTATTGCAAATCCAGGGAATATTTTTCACTGATTTTATGGAAATATGGACCCAGATGCTTTCAGTCGTGAGTGCCTGTCCTACAAAGTTCTCACCTTCCTTGTAAGCTTGGAATACCTTTGTCCTGCTATGTGCTTTGTGTTGCCTTTACAAATATCCTTCAGCTCCTGCCTCTTCCGTAACCATATTGCAGTTCACTAAGCCCAGTATGAATCACTCTGTTTTCATCCTCAAATAATTTGTACGTGCTTCTTGGAAGAACAAAAATGTTTTACAACACTTCCATGACAGAGAGCTTTTATTTTTCTCATGACTACATCCTGAACTCTGAAAGAGTTTCCCGAGTCTCAACTGCACTTCTTCGCCCACTAAGATTTTCAAGATATCAGCTCCTAAATTTTGCAATGGTTCTAATGGAAGACATGAGGATGTGATACCATTAAGATCACTCAAGTGTAGCCATTTGTTTAATATTGGAAGACTTCCTGTATTATTAGTAAATATTTTTTCAGGCTTATTTCCTTACCATTTCCCATTCTTATTGAGGGTTGACAAACTATTCTTGAAATTGATTATGGAATGCTTTCAATGGACCTTACTTGAGTGAATTACTTAAAACCAGCCATTACCCTGACATGTTAATTAAGTTCCTACCAATGACTATTAGCCTCTTGAAAAAAATTCTTTGGTCTAAAAATATGAAATGGATCTTGATGCAAGAATCTTCCCTTAACCTCATAGTAAATGCAAATGTATTTCAAATAGGTTATCCTACAGTTAGAAAAAAAAAGTCATTCATCTAGACAGATACCTTAATGAAGGCAATGTCTTCCTGTAAGAACTTAGTCATGAGTTAAAATGTTATGATGTATACAAAAACACAGTCTATAAATGCTTTTAGCTTATTTCTCTGTCCTTAAAAATTAATATTCAAATCATAATCAGTTTCTCAAATCAGCCCACTCTTGTTAAACTGAATCTGTTCCATGCATTAATTCTAATTTACGTAGGTATTTGGTAGCTCTCACTTGCATTTCTTCCTACTCATTTTGTATCATAGTCCAACTCCTTTACTTTTTCTGGAAATATGTTTATCACGATCAGAAAACAATATGTAATTTGTTTTTCTTCACTTTTCTTCATAATATGCAAAGAAATCTGTAGTATCTCCTTGAGGACATCTGTGACTGGAGTGGATTAAAATTACTTATCTATGATGGAGTCAGAAGTGGTATTTTCTTAAGGACTGCTGTGGCACGTGTAACAGGTACACCATGTATGCAAGTGCCCCCTTTGTTTGTCACAGGAGGCTGTCAGTAGGTATGGCCCAGCTGATGGTTCTGCTATAAGGGGGTTGTTCCTGCTTGGCTTCACACATGCCTACAGCCATTATTTCAAATAATGAAATGTAATGGGTGAGTTAAGGGAGTTAGATTATTGTTTAACTGTTATAATGGAATCAGAGCTAGAAACCTCAGGGTAACTGTCCTTGGAAGAGCCAACAAAAGAAGCAGAAATTCAAATTTGGAAAATCCAAACCATGAAATGGAGCTACATCCATTTCAGCATGTAAACAATAAGCATGTGGGATGCCTATACCCCAGCCCTGCATACACACACAGCTAAAAGCCTTTCTTTCCTTCCCAGGTTTATAAAACACTGAAGACATTCCTTGTTATCCCATGTAAATATCATCTCAAGTTTTGAGCAACAAAACCTCCACAGTTAATTTGCTTTATAGTGTGATCAACATCTGAGAGCATAACCAGTCTTGAATTTGTGAGTTGCTCCAGCAGCCACCTCACCTGCTGTGTTCTGGTACTTGAGCAGGTGGATGTGGTGAATAAAAGAGAATTTCCCAAAGGATGCCTGAATTGGGCCTGGTTATATAAATAGGTGTTACACTACTTCCCAAACTAGGCCATTTGAATATTCTTTACTTAATTCTTCCTCTTAGCTTTCCTCCAGCTCAGCTACATCATACAGATCTCTAGTGGTCAGCTCACAGGCGAGGAAAACCTTGCTTGTTTTTGTCTGAGGTCAGCACGTAAGTGTATTCCCTGTTCCAGGTGAAATGCACAGCCAGCATTCCATTCTCCAGCACTTAGAAATGAGTGCTCCTCCCATGCTGACTGCTAAAACAGACCTACACCACACAGACCAAGTTTTACTCAGCCATCCTCAGGGACCTGTTTGCAATGTGGTACCTCAAATATTGAGTTCTTAATGGTAGTAAGGAGTTCTCCCATCCCCCAGGTGCAACAGGTGAGAAAAGCAGTGCAGAGCTGCTCAGCACAGCAGCCACTTGGGATGTGAGCAGCCTGCTCGTTTGCAGTGTCAGTCCCAGGCAGGTGTGAGGTGAGTGACACTTCATTTTGGGTTAAGGAGAGGCTGCTCTCCCTCACTGCAATATAAACTCTGAATAACAGCCCCATAATTAAATTAATTGGATAAGAGAGACCTATCCTGTCACATGGTGCAAGTGTGTTGGTTCCTCCTCAACAGCATTCAGCCCTAGGTGACTCAAGTCATGTGCAGCCAATTTACAAATGCCCAGGCTGCCACTAAATATTTAGAATTACACTTGAATATTTAGAATTACACAATGAATATATACAATTCAAATATTTATCTTGGCATGGTTTGTAATGATGAAATGAAATATTACATTATATTAACAAAAAATCCTACACCTCGAATCCTACAAAACATGTTTCAGTCAGGAAATAATATTAAAACAAATACTTTCCTTGGAGGAATCCATTGCTGTGCAACTGAAATCCTAAATGCCTGACTCACTTTTTATCAAATAAAATTTTCAATATTCTCTACCTTTAACTGACCATAAATTCTAAGGATTTCAGTGGGATAAATTCTGTTTGGCTTTTTAAATTCTGATTTTAGTCATATTGTATCAGTCCCTTAAGAACACACTTAATAATGATTTCAGACTGAGAAATATAGTAACTAGTCTTAACAGCGCCCTTGTGACATCCTGAAGCCACTGCAGCATAAGAGAAATGAATATATCACTCTTCAAGCCTTTGTAACCCCTGAGATTTTTATCAGGAACATCAATTTAGGATGCCTGAGAAAGAAATAATTGAAAGCAAACATGAAAATGCCATCAAAAGGGCTTGCTCCAAAGTGGGATGGAGTCAGCAGAAATCTCTCAGTATACTGCAGTCTGTCTTGGACTGAGCCCTAAATCAAAATTCACATCTTTCTAAGATCTGTGACAAAAGGGTGAAAACAGCAAATGGAAAAGCCTATGAAGCAGTCATTAATAGAAAAGAAAGTTAAAATTATTTACTATTTTAACCTATTGCCAAATATTTCCTGAAAATCTACACTTTTTCCATCCCAGTAAGGACACCTGATCCCACTTATGAAAAAAAGTGAATATATACAATATTTCAGACTTTGTGATCTTTTCTTTTTCAGTTGAACATTCTTTGCTGTCCTGTGTAACTTCTACCCAGTGCAGAGAACACTGCTGCTCCGTGTTATTTGCTGGATATTTTGGATGTGATTCCAATAGCTTTAGGAGGTTCAACAGTTTTGCAGGAACATCTTCAAAGCTGCCCTGAATGTCCAGAAAAGCAACAGGTAGAAAACAGGTAGAAAAAGCCAAGGGGAACAATCTCCTTATCCTTCACATAAAACAAAGGGAGTTCATTCTGTCAAACTTAATGGAAATAATTTTGTGGCATCCATCCTTACACTAATATTTGAATGACCCTTTGAAGTAGAAAAAGCTCACAGGAACTCATAATTCTGATAGTTTAATCAAGAAGAAAAAGTGGATCTTTCATCTTTAAAGCTTTGAGACATCCATGAAATCAGTCAAATTTTCCAAGCACTTAACTCTTTATAGATTTCAGCTATGAAGGAAAAACATGGAAGTTTTTTTCCTTCCACAGAAGAGTCAGAATAAACTTTTTTCTCAGTGCCCCTGCTTAGCTCTGAGGAACTTTTCTGTAACTAGCTACACCAGCATAAAGAGATATGGAAAATAAAACAGATGGGTTTATGACTGCTGTGCATTTCTGAATGTATTTTTGTATGACTTAGGTATGCATGTGTAAGTCCATGGGACCTGATAAGATGCCCCAAGAGCCTTGAAGAAATTGGCTGATGTGGTTGCCAAGCCACTCTCAAGGACATTGGAAAAATCACAGCAGCCAGGTAAAGTTCCTGACAGGAAAAATGGAAACATTGCATCCATTTTAAAATGGATGCAAAGGAGGACTCTGGGGACACTGCTCTGCCAGCCTCGTCTCCGTGTCTGAGAAAACTGTGGGACAAATCCTCCTAGAAGTGCCTCTAAGGCACATGGGCAGGGAAGTGATCCAGGACAGCTTCACCAAGAGCCCTGAAGATGAGGGATGGGCCATGTCTCCTATGAGGAAAGGCTGAGAGACTGGTTCAGTCTGCAGAAGGGGCCAGGGAGACCTCACTGCAGCCTTTCAGCACTTCAAATATACAGAAGATGGGAAGAGACTTTTCAGCAGGGCCTGCTGTGATAGGACAAGGGGGAATGGTTTCAGACCAAGAGAGAGTAGCTTTAGACTGGACCTAAGGAGGAAATCTCTCACCCTGGGGATGGTGAGGCACTGGAACAGGTTGCCCAAAGAGGCATGGGTGTCCCATCCCTGGAATAGGTCAGGCTGGATAGAACTCTGGTCTAGTTTAAGATGTTCCTGCTCACTAAAGGGGAACTGAAACACACGACCTTTAAATGTCCTTTCCAACACAAACCACTCCATGATTCTGTGATTTTCATTTAACTGCACGTGGACAGACACCAGAGACGGGCAATGAGAAGTAAAACAATGCCCAGAGCAAGACAGCTGCTGAATAAATATTTCAAAGAGAACAACCAATGGAAAATTAATTGATAAATATCTATATTTAAAGCTGTGTTAAAAAAAAAAAAGAAAAAAATTGAGAATGTACTCTGGAAATTTTAGGATTTTGAAACATAGAGTTATCAACAGGCCAACTTACAACTCCACCAGGTTGAAAAGGAGATTTTCTTAAAAAAGAACTAGGATTCAACCTTAAACTAATTAATTGCCAATGTGCAAGCCTGTCCTTCCACTTATGGGCACGGTAGGTGTTAACATTTATTTGTCCAATGGAAAACTAGAGATGCATTAGGTAACCTAAAATCCTAGGTAGTAATTCTAAATCATAGTACTCTGTTTCTTTGTGTGCACTATGACTAGACTGATGCACAGCCTTTGTCAAAGTAGTTATTTTCTACAGCTCAATAATCAGGGATTTAATATTTAATAAGAAATACCATGCCAGTAACAATATACCTTGCATGCTCTGATGTTTTAATGATGGTGAGCATGATAAACAAAGAGATATAAGGTTTATTGAAAGAGTTTGTTTTCTTTTGTGGTTTTCATGTTGCCTTTTTTCACCAGACCAGCTGAGCTAGTTGGCTGAAGAAAACAAACTTTCAGTCACACAAGGCTTTATTTTAAATGCTTTCTTTCCTGAAAAAATTACATTTCTAATGTCACTAGCAGATCTAAAGGGAAAGCAGCAAAGCTTTTAGAAATGTGTTTGTATGTATGTATATCAACGTAGACATGTATTGGTGTGTAAATGTAGATCTATTTGAGAAGGAAATGTTAAGGCTGTGGAGTAAACAGAATCTGTGAATTTGTCCCTTGGCTGTGGAACAAAGCTCTGTGACTTTGTCCCATTTGGTACCAAAGCAGACACCAATCAGCTGCTAAGAGATTCCACAGCTCATTTCTGCATACAACTATAAATATGCAAATATTCCTGGGTCTAGAAGAAACATAATGCAGAACTATTTCATTTGACCATATTTTCAGGTCAAATTAAGCATCCATGGCCCACCAGGAGATTCTGGCACTCAGAAATTGAAACACGTCTCTCACAATCAGTTGGGATGTATGGAGGAGCCCTAAACAAGACAGCTCTAAAATGTTTTTTTTTTAGAACAAAATCATGTAAGCTCCCAATCCCAAACTGGGACCAGAATTTTTGTATCTCTTTTCTGAGCAAAAGGAAGAATTTTATTTAAAACAGTCATCATCAAAGCTGTGACACTGCTCAGCTACTCATTTGTTCTATACAGCCATTCACACTTTCCTTCATCTCTTTTGAGAAATTGAACTTTTTTAAGGAGAAACCTCTCTGGTCAGTCAATCTCTCTATAATCAGAGAATCAAGCTCAGCAGAATGGTCAATCTGGACTCAGAGGTCAGAAATTAATATTTCAAGCTTTATAGCTCCCTCATCATCCAAACCTGTGGTCAGGGAATTATGAGTGTCCCCAAGGTCTCTCATAAGCTGCTCTCTTCTGCTATTTCTTCATTTCCTGTATTTCTACCCTGGAATTTGGTACAGCACAACAACCTCCACAATGCAGCAAAATATTGTTCAAACAATAGTGCTTTAAATAATTTTCATTGTTTATCTGGACATCTTATGTAGAGCATCTGTGTCAAAAGTGCTGCAGAGCACCTGTTTCCATTAAAATTGCTGGTGAATTGTATGAATTCTGCATAAACCTAACTTGCAGAAATTGATGTGCCTGAACGAAAGGTTTAACTTAGCTTCTATAATTGTATAAGTCCAAGTGTACCCTCCCTCTGAAGGCAAGGAAAGACCAGCTTACAGATTTCATTATTTCTGCGCTCTTGAGGATATGCCCTAGAATCAGATGTTCTGCACAGAGCCCTCAAATTCAGCCTCCATTCCTCAGCCTTGCTGTGCAAGCCAAGCTGCACTGACATCACAAGAAATTTTCCCAAGCAGCTGGTGACAAACAGCTTTCTAATACAAAATTGCCCCTAAAAATAAATATGCTGCATCTATAAATTCAAAAGTATACATAGGCTTGTATATGCAGAACAGAAAATCTCTAACCTTTGCTCTGACAAATAAATCAACTGCATCTCACAAACACGGGGATATCCTCGTTTTTGTAAATTTATCTTTCAGTCACTGTCTTCACTCACTGATTTTGCACAAACTTCCCTTATATACTGAGCTGTCTTTCTATTCTACAATGAGGAAGCTTTTAATGATTAAGAATCCTTTTGATTTAGCAGTGATATAATTTTAATTATTTCCCCACCGTGGTCCAACCATTAATTCTTATGAGGTAACAAACCTCCTGGTATGGTAACATACCTCCTGGGTCTCTGGCCTCTGGCCCTTGCTTTATCTCCTGCTTGTTCGTCCTAAAAGCTTCTTTTGATTGAGTGAGAAAAAATCAGGCAGGCAAATATACACATAGCTGTACACAGTCTGACTCTCTCCACAGCATTCTGCTTACACACTAGTGAGATAAAAATTACTTCTAAGATGAAAAGCACTTTTCATCTTGAGACCCCATTTCCTATCACATAGAACTTTCCAAAAATATGTTACTTTTGAGATATATGTGATTTCAACACTAGCAATGCCAGCTGAAGTGGGAACTTTGAAGGAGATGTTAAGCTACATCAGTTTGATCATTAAAGTTATGCAAATGGAAAAACACATTCCTTCCTTTTAAATTTTGCTTCGTTTTAGTTGCAATCATAAGATCCAAGAAGTGAGGATGGTGTTTAAATGTCAGAAGCTTGACAGCATCTCAGCACAGTCCCAGCTGTGGTCAATAGTAGAGCTTGTCTGTATTTCAACAGGAACAGGATTTTGCTCAGTCTTCACAGAGCAGCTGAGAACCGACTCAAGTTTAAACATGAAGCTGCCTGTTGTCTACAGACAACATTAGTTGTCTGTAGAAGCAGGCAGCAGATTTCACTGCACACCACCAGCTCAGGAAGTTCTGAAGCAAAAAGCACCAACCCAAACCAGTGCAAGGAAGAGAGACTTGTACTGCCCATCTCATGATGTCCCTGTTAGTACACACTGCTGGCTCTCACTGCCCTGCAACACAAATGCCAGCTCCTTGTCAGGAGAGCGTGGTGCTGCAGTGTCCTCCAAGAGGTTTATCTCTGAGGCAGCTGCCACTAGCTACCCATTTCAAATACATGAAGAATAAGTTGTATGAATAGTGTGGAAACTCTCCAGGAAGCGCTCAGGACCTGTGCTGGAAGGCATCTCCCCTAAAGCCAGCAGAGGTGTTCAGTTCAGGCTTAAGCAGAGAACTTCCCTGAGTTATGGCATGGGGGGTTCCCTTCCTGAGATATTCCAGGCCTTTACTTACTGAAGCAAAAAGGTTTTTAATTAGAAATCATTTTCTTCATTAAAGACCAGTAGGATAAGGACAGTCACCATTTGATGAAATACAATTGTCCTATCATCTTTCTTATCCCAAAGAGATTTTAGTTTGGCAGTTATTGTGTCTACTTTATTTTTAAAAACTACATAATCAAACAAAAAACAACCAAAAAAAGAAGTTGAATTATGAACGGGAAAACTCTGAAGAACAAATTTTTGAAATCATTGCTCCAACATATGACCAATGGCAGTGCAGTAATTTAGCCTCATGTTTTATACTGAGGCTATTGAATTAAAGAGATCTTTCTTATTAATATAGAATATTTTATATTCTTATTATCAAGCTGCCATGAAGTTTGCAATTTGGCCAAGTAAACCAGATCTACTGTAAAAGCCAAATATTGTCATGCCTACACAATCTGAATTACCTATTGGCTCACAAGTGGCCATGCTCATTATTTTTATAAAATAATAAGAGACTTCGATTACTTCAGCTTTAAATGTAAAATCCTCAAAATCTTCATCTCTCTGAGAATCCTGAGACAACACATTGAGAAGATAAATCTATGGCCAAGGTAGCTGAAAACCAAAACCAACCAGAAAGATAGAGAATTTTTTTCTTTTTTAAGAACAGATTAAAATTCAGAGCAAGAGTGATTGCAATCTCTTTTGTTTTTTGTTTTTTGTTTTTCCTGAAGCTATGCAGGTCAGTTTTTATGTTAAAATACTGTACAACATACTCAGGTATGAAGAGCTTGCATTTTTATTCTAATTTGTTTTCCTTCAGGTTCAGAATTACCAGCAAAGAAAATTGCTCTAATTGCAATGCTTTGCATAGAAATAGTGATTATAGCTCAGTGGATTGGTAGGACACGACACTGCACAACTTATTAGATCAAACTGAGTGAAGCCTACACCATACCAACTTTTAAAATGTAGGTAAAGCAAGTTAAGCTCTCTCAGCAAATCTAAATATTTATAACCCAAAATTATGGGTGTCAACCTGCCAGGCACATGACATGATCCCTGATTCAGAACTATGAAATAATCATAGGGAAAAGCTGCCACAATATAGGATGTCATTAAAACCCAACAGCAGCAAAATCAATTTTAATTAGATCCCAAGAAATGAATATGTAGAGACCAAAAGCCTTTCTTCAATATATTAATACAGTTTTTTTACTTGGTTAGTTTTTATGGAATTCATCAAAGGGATGCTGAGTAACTGAAAAGGTGCACATGAAAGCACTGAGATTGTGAAGTGCATACAGAGATATTTCTACATTTCCAGATATTTATTTTTATTCTAATGAATACTCTCATAGAGAAAGCAAATATCTGGAGGACAGCACAGCTCTCTAAGCCTGTACATTCAGAATGAAGTACCTCAATCTACTACTTATGACCAAATTATAATTGTCCATAAGAAAACAAGGCTGGGCACTTCATGTACTGGAAGTTGTCATTTCCTAACTATTACTTAGATTCCAGTTACAGTGGATATACACTGGATTTTACAGATCAGTAGTATTATAGCAGAAATTACTTGAGTTCTGGCCCATTACTTAAATCCAAGCACCATTTTTCTAAAACTAAATTACAGTGTATGTTTCCTAAAGTGCAGATCACAAATCTAGCTAGTGGCAGAGATTTTAATGGGCATGTTTATTTTTTTTCCCTGAAGTTTCAACTTCTGTCAAAAAAGAAGCTTTTTTGTTGTTGGATGCCAGTGATGATGGGAGAATGGATTAGGTCAGGCCCTGTCAGCGTATGGAGGAGTGGCTGAGGTGATGAGACAAGTAATCTCTTCCACCACTTTAGCATTTCTTGTACCCTGCAAAGCAGTTTAGTCTGAAACATTTCCTAGTTTGCAGACTACAATTATCATATGCTTTGTTTATATACTGTTATCTTCACTTGTTAATAATTCCTGACAGGAATAGAAGACTCTAGGAAGTTAACACGAAAAGCTGGAAGCAAGATGCAGCTGAAAATCACCCTAAATGTTTTCCAATAGTCCCACCTTTCCTGCCAAGCTCTGTTTCACCACTCAGCTCAGCCTGGATGCTCTTATGAACCACTCACACCGCACAGCTAGCTCAAGGCAAGGAAGCCTGCATATTTAACATTTTGCTATCTGTACAGCTCGTGGAAAACTCAGGTTTCCAATTGCATTGTACAATGCATATTGTGTTTTAAGGAAAGGTGGAAATAAATGTGTGGAACCAGTGCATTTTGGCACAGGTAATGGTTTAAAAAAAAAACCAAAACAAAAAAATAAACAAACAAACAAAAAATAAACAAACAAACCTCCCAATTGCAACATTCTCTCACCATCTGGCATAAAATGGTCATTCTTTCCTCTAAAAATGATGGTATTGGAACTGTAATATCTAGTCAACAAAATCTCAGCCCTTAACTGAGTTAAATCAGTCTTTCTGCATTGGTTGTGTGACATACTAACCCTAAAAGCAGTGCTATTGCCAAATACACCACATGTGCTCTGAGGAATGCAACTGAAACAAATGACAGATGAAACCATGACATTTTGAGAACAAGAATAAATGTAATAATATTTGTTAAAATATGATTTGCTTATGAATGCAGGTCCGCTGATTTTTTTCCTTAAAAGAAAAAGTAAATTTGTGGAATAATCAGGATTTCAGTGATACTCTGTACCAATGCCATGGGAATCCTCCTCATCAAAGCTCACGGGTAGGGTATTAATGTGTCCACAAAATATGGCGTGAATGTGCCTGCACATCTCAAAGATAGACACAGCAGACCAAGACTCTCTCCCTGTTACCAGAGGGAGGTTTTAGCTGTTCAAGAGGGTGAGAAATCAGTAGGAAACAAAAATTAAATGAAAGCAGCCTAATTATAGAAGAATACTCTGAAATACTGTAGCCAATATTACACAGTTGATCTCTTGGCTTGCACAGTAGACTGATACTCTAAAATAATAGGTAGGATGAGAAGTTGATGACAGATTTTGAGTTTCCTATTCTTTTATAGTTTACTTTTGACACTCTGTGGCTAAATTTCTGATTCGTAACATTTTCTTTTTTTTTAATTTAGTCTCATGCTGAAAAACCTCTGGGGATGGTGGTGAATGAGAGCTGTTTGTTTGGGAAACAGCAAAATTGAAAAATAGGCCTGCAGAAGCTCTTTTCTATGACCTAACATGAGTTTGGAGGAACCCAGATGAGGTGCCTTTCCTAGTCACATGCAAAATCACTCTGGTAAGTGGTAGCATCAAGTGCCTGAACACAGAAAGGTCTGTCCAAGTACACATTACTTGAGGGGCTGTAGTGGGGTTCACATCAGCAATTCTGTCCCAGACATACTGAGTATTACTGCAGGGCTGTTTGCAGAGTAATTCCAGGGCTGGGCAGTGATGAGAATGTAACATGGAAACAGTTTTCTTGATTTCACTGTAATAGGTCCCAGGCATAGAATAAAACTCAAGCTTATGTACTTAATTTACCTAATTGCCTTGCTGTATGAGGCCTCTGTACTTAAATTGTTAGCATATCATCCTGACAGGCTGTAAACTATGGCTTTATATCAGCAAATAAATGTACAAGTATTGATGTACAGTCTGCCACTGCGGAACACTGTGTAATTTACACATCCATTACGCAGCCACAAACACATAGATCCATATCTTCCTGAGCAGCTCTATCCAAGCTGTCTAGATTTTAGCCAGTGCTACCCATTTACTCTTAAATCACTTGTGCTAGCATTGTTTTAACACCCTAAGACAACATGTTTGACAGAGCAATCTTAAAAGGCATCTAACTGTATCTCATATCCAGGTTGCATCTAACACTGAAGGAATTTGTTTGGCAGAAATTCATTATTAAGAAGGCATTTACTGTTTTCCTTCCTCTCCCTCTCTTTGCTTCTTTTCCTTCACATATTTTTTGGTAGGTTGGCTGTTTTTTAGGTGTCTGGCCTGCAGTGTGTGCTGCAGAGCAGAATAATTACCTTCTAGGACACTTGGTGGGTACAGTCCAACCAAGAATCATTCATAGCATTTAATGACTTTACAATGCATGGTACAAACGTAAAAATCTGTTGCTATTTGATTGAGAAGCTTTGACCTGATCATTGTGTGTCTGCAATTGCACATCCCTAAAATTTCCCAGTCAGAATTAACCCTCCTCCCCCTCCAATGTCACTCCTACTCCTCAACCAGGCTTTTAACAGAAAGTCTCAAATGAAGAAGTGAAAGGCAGTGAATAATGACAGACAATAAATAAACAAACAGGACAACCTGGAATAATCATTATTTGTCCTGAAGAGAATGAAAGTTTCATCAACTTTGAATTAAAATTGGAAAGTAAATTTCAATGCAAAGGAGGAGTTAGTTCTAATACAGTATAATTTTATTCTTTGAAAGCCTCAAGCCAACCCAAGCTTGGTCTCCTCCACAGAGCCTAACCCACTGGCAGAACTATTGCAGAATTCAGTTCACAGTTCTCTCTCTGACAGCTCCCACATTCCCTGCATCCCCAAGGCCTCACTGCTCCTGGCTGTCCTGGCATGGAGGGCTCAGCAGGGCAGGACAGGGATGCCCTTGGACCCAGCACTGGGGAGGGAACAGCTCAGATCCTGTCCCAGCTTTGGGCCCCTCACTACAGAGGGGACAATAAAGCTGAGGAGGGTCTGGAGCACAATTCCTATGAGGAATGGCTGAGGGAGCTGGGGGCATTCAGCCTGGAGAAAAGGGGGTTCAGGGGTCACCTTGTCACTCTCTGCAGCAGCCAGGTGGGGATTGGTCCCTTCTCACAGATAGCAAGCAACAGAACAAAGGAAAATGGCCTTAAGTCATGCCAGGGGACATTTAGGTTGCATATTAGAAAAAAATTCTTCACTGAAAGAGTGGTCAGGCATTGGAACAGGGTGGTCAGGGAATCAGGGGAGTCACCAGCCCTGGAGGTATTTAAAGGATATGGAGATGTGGTACTTTGGGATATGGTTTAGTGGCAGACTCAGTAGTGTAAGGTTAATGAGTGGACCAAGGATCTTCTATTTCTACAACTTTTCATTTTGTGTACAAGGCCAAGAAGGCCTCAAGGTGAAACTGTATTGCACACAAATTTCTACTGCACAATCAGTTCTCTGTCTTCAGGCTTTTCTTTGACAAGAATAGTTATTGAGTGTTTATTTACTAGAACAATATTGGAACCTTTTGTAAGACACTGCTCTCCAGTCACCATATGAATCAGAATAACATTACTGCAGCTAATAAAATATATTACTGTATTTCTTAAGATTCATAGACCCCTTTCCTCTCAGTTTTATAGAAAATTAGGACTTTTTTTTTTACACTTGCTATGCCTCTTTTCAGGATTATAATAGCTCTTGGAGTTTAGGAACCTCTTAAATACTATTCTTGATTGGTCATAGAGAGGACAGCAATAGTCTAAATCCATGGGTAATTGTCTTTTTTAGAAAAATGAGATATGAGAGTGAACATAATTTCAGTATCATTTCAGTGGGACAGGATTCAGCCTTAAATGTTCTAGTCACTAATTTCTGCTTTGATGACATGATTATTACCTAAATGTAGGAGAAAGCAACAGAATTTTTATACAATGTGGGTGTTTTCACCTGCTACATGTAAGAAAAAAAAAGCCCACAGCTTGAAGCACATCAGAGTAGCAATGGTAATTAGGTATTGGCATATCATCCAAGAAAGAAAAAGAAAAGAGCTTGAAAAATGATATGGCTTAATAATGGTTCAGTATCCTAGAGCTATGCAAAAAGTTCTCAAAGGGAAGCATAAATTGTGAATGATGAACACTCGTGATTCCTACAAGGGATAACCAGTAAGAAACACAGGGAATAAGCACAAATGATCCCATTTAAGCCTGAGTAAGGAATATGATCACACATCTGTATGCAGGCCTTCAAGCAGTCAGACAGATTTCCACAAATGCCAGTTGCCACATCACACACAGCACCTTCCTGTAGAAGTTATGGCTGTTAATCTCATCTAAAGTACACCTGCAGTGACAGCATCTACCAGGAAATTTGCACAGAAATGAGAGAATATTGCTTTTTGAATCCATTTAAGATCCCAAAACATTCTGGACCAAATTTTTCATTGCCAATGAAAAATTTATATATGAATTTTTTTTTATAGCCAATGCTTCCGAAATGTAATGCAACCATGTACTAATTATGATCAGAACCAGTACAGCATCCCAGATAGATAAAAAGCTTCTAAAATCTTGGAAGACTGCAGCAACCACATGCATTTATATATTTGGTTTCTGAAATGAACTGACAGTTTGTCTGACAGAAAATCAGGGTACACCAAATCAGAATACACATATATTAACCTGGAAATCTGAAAAGATCAAAAAACAGGTTTAGAACAGTTTGTACAGCTGAGACTGTGTTGTGTTCATTAGAGTCAATGACAAGCACTGGCAGGGTCAGCTGGAGCTGAGCAGAGCTTAGACCAGGCACACCAGCAGGATTTCTGCTTGTTCCTATTCTTAGAGCCAGATGCTCTGAGCTACCTCACTTGCAGCCATGTAGATATTTTTGGAGTCTGGAATTTCCAGCCTTTTTGTTTCTCTGTTCAAGCACAACCTCCCAGACAAGCTCACCCCACAATTCTAATTGGACCTGGAAGAAAATGTAAAGATTTGAGCATTTGTTTGAAATTGGAAAGCAACCAAATTTTTGAAAGCTTCCTTAAAATGAAATAGCTTTTTTTCCTAGCCAGATTGAAATGCTGGATGACATGTCAAAGAGAAATATTGAATTGGCCCTCCTGAGCACAAAATTTTATTCATTAGGGGGCTTTTTCCCTTGTTCAACAAAAATGATTTCCAGATTAGAACATTACATAAGTATATTTCATATATGGATAAAATTGCTCTTTGCTTCACTCTCCTTGATATTTCCCGTACAAAGATACAGGGAGTTCGCATTCTGCAGCTGAATTACGTTACAACAACACAGATGGAACTTTAGATGTAAAGCCATATTTTTAGCCAAAGCACAGTTGAAGCAATGTCATCTGATGCAGTTAGAGACATATAGAGAGGCACTTGCAGTAATACACATTTATCACTTTTAGTGAATGGCTGATACACTGCATCCTGTGTACCCTCTCCTTCAGAAGGGCAATAATTTCAAATACACCTTTTTCCTTGAACAGGAAAGAATGGAGCATTCTATTCCCATGTGTGGCCTGATACTTGCGCTTCATTTGGCTACCACTTAAGCTGTTCCTGCAGTTTCCCCTCTGTGAGCACCTGTGTGCAAACTCATCTTTGCATAGGCACTTGTGTAATTGCCCCAGGGTGAAACCTTTGGTCATTTCCCTCAGAGAAAGCAGATATTCATTGTAAAGATTGTGAAATTCCACCTCCAGAGCACAGGTGTGAATTTCCATACATTTGCAACTGTCAGAGGGAATGCTCAATGTCTTCATGGTAACATGATCATTTCCAACAGCAAAACCCCTTCATTTCATGAAGAATCTGAGCTGGAATCAGAACCGTTTACCTTTATCACAAAGTATTGCTGTGATATTTCTCAGGTATGAGATGCTTTACTATTTCTGACACATTGCATATCTGATGTTAAAAATCAGAAAAAAAAATCTTATTAAAATAGGAATTTGAAAGCACTGGAAGCATTCAGAATTTAAAAGAGCTAAGAAAGGCAGAGGGTTTGGTGCAGTTCTCTGACATTCATAATTCTCAGTTCCTGAACTTTGATGTCCCATACAGACACATCAGTGAGGTGCTGGACAAAACTTTCTGGATGGATAAACATTCATCCCTCCAACAATTTGATCAAGTAAGAGATTGCAAATATATATAAGGGCAGCAGCAGCAGCCCCTTGTCAATATAGCTGTCACTGGATTTGGAAGATTTAGAAGCTGTTGGAAGCATCTCTTCAGCAAGTCCTTCCCCATTAAAGAATATTACAGTTACAGCTCTTTGAAGAGCAAAGGAAAATCTAAAAAATCTTTTAAACGTTGAAGGCCTTGGAGCCTCTTCTTGAAAAATGCTGAATTTTTTAGTGCTTTATATTTTTTGGTAAACAGGATTCAGATCTTGGCAGCAGGTTAGGGAGCACTATTCCTAGTAAAAAAGACAAAGAGAGAATGAGCCAAGGAAGAAGCACAGGAAGGAACAGCTTCCTAGAAAGCCTGTTGCTGTTGGTAAGGAAAGAAAAGATGCCATGGAATGACCAAAGGACAAAAACAACCTTTAATCTTAAGGACAATAAGCAGCCACCACAAGCTAGTCAGTGTTTCATGAGGCACTTCACCTTTAGAGAGGAAAACAGGAATTTCTTTTCTCTGCAAAGTTTCCTACTTCACAGCAAGAAGCCTCCAATAGTATTTTATGAACTGTTAAAGCAAAAGAAGTCAAAACCAGCTTTTAGAAGGCTGTTTTTCTTGCCTTCCCCCCCAGTGGGAAAAAAATGAGCAGATAGCAGCCACATGAGACTGGGTAGTGTGGGTGGATGGTCAGGGTACAGAATGTTAGATTACTCAGCAGTTTAGCTGGCTCTGATATGTACCCATGACTACATCTTGAGTCCTCCCCAGAAAAAGCATTTAATTCATCTCAGAAAAGTGAAAAAGTTAATTACTGAATAAATGATAGAGCCCCACCTACTGTTTTATTGCATACATTTCTAGATAGACACACACACTTCATGCAAATGCAATTCATTAGTGCATGCATCTATTAGAGGAGCCCTAATTATGGACTATAATCCCACCCTGGGTATGTTTTGCATACACACACAATTGTGGATTTTGCAGTCAAAATCTAGAAATGCAGGTGGATTTCTTCCTATCCCCCTTGTAAATCAGGCTTCTTTGCATCATATGCATACACACATCCCAAAAGCTCCCCAGGGAAAGATTAAAATTTTTCAAAGACCTTTGAAAATCTTTTGGTCAGCAGTTGACAGAATGAATGCTCATTTCATTAACAACACTGGTATTGGGGATCACTGAGGCTCTGTCCCCCATTACCATGTTATCAGATTATCTGGCATATTTTCCACCTAGAATTTCTCTGCTCATGTGTAAAAGAAAGAAAATATCCCAGCAATGTGAACATCCTTTAAAGTGGTACAAGTTTTGTTATTGAAATAGAAAAGTCTAAATGCAATGTGCATGAAAGATAAGATATTTTAATTTTATGGAAGTGGAACCACAGGACACTGGGAGTGAGGGAAGTACCACCCAGACATTAAATATCTTGTCCAGACACCAGCTCTCCAACACATCCCCTGCTCATAAATAATGCAGCACAGAGGTTGAGTCCCAGCACACACAAGGCTTCAAAAAGGGCTTCTTTCACCTGTCTCCTTGTCATGGCTGTGCTTTCACTTTAGTTTCATGTGAACTGAAATTCCCATTGCAAAGGGAATTCTTAAAAGAACTTTTCTGAAATCCCATGTCCAGAGTAGGAGGAATATTTTGAAAACACTGA